CTTTCTTTGGTTCATTTGCCATTTCCCSTCTCTCACCTGAAAAGGTCTTATTAATTCATCCTTAATCTTGATTTTACATCATTTACACAATGCATTCTTTACTGTAATGGAAATAATTGCACAAATAATCCTTATTTTGTCTTGTAAGCCCTTTTTTTCTCCAAAGCCCTCTGACTGCCAAATCTACGTTGCATACAGAGACTTGCCCAACTTCTCCTGAACCCCCAGCACCTCTCTACCTTTGTTTAATCTAATGGTCCAGCATCCAGAAAATGGCTTTTGTAGTGGCCCTCATTTTCAGGAGAAAAGCTCATGATGTTCTGCTGGAGGAATCTTCCACAGGGATCTCCTTGCCAGCTTTTTTGTGTCAGCAGTAGTGAAAACTTTGATTTTATTTGAAACACCAAACTTTAGGGCTCCGTTTGCCATCTCAATACCATTCCCCTGAATGCTGAGCACAGGGAAAGCCAACTCTTGACACACACACTCACTCTCACCAAAAGGTACATGATAATGATGTGATGTTGTGTGATGGAAAGCCAAAAATCTGGTTAGTTCTAATTACATTGGTTATTAAGACATGAAAAATGTGTTTGTGGTCTCTGGTACATATCTCACAAAACCCATACTGACATTCATGTGTTGAAGTTAATTATATATATATATAGTCAACATCATATTATGCAAAGAGATTTGATAGAACTGAAATGTATAAAAGTGATGAAAATATTATCATTACTATCTTACTTTATGTAAATGAAATTTAGTTAGAAGATGTTGTGGAATAAAATCCTGCAGGAAACCAGTCCTTATTACTTGCAAGCTAACTGTTTTGAGTTTTTCATATTTATTCATTGATTGATGGGGGGTTATTATAAAATAATTAATGGAAATGCTAATAAACCTAGGGTTGTTTCTTTTCTTTATTCAGAACCTCAAACATGCACTTTGAAAGACTTCCTTTGTGCAAATGGAGACTGTGTTTCAGCGAGATTCTGGTGTGATGGAGACTATGACTGTGCAGATGGCTCAGATGAGGTAGGCATCTTCCAGAAAAGGTATTTCATTAGAGAATTAATAGTTTTCTATTGTTGGAGACTGGATTCCTGCATGTGAGCATTTTAAAAGATGGCAATAGGAATTCTACACTTGAATCCATATATACAAATATTGTTACTAAATTGAAAGCAAACTTCTTGAAGAAATTCTTCTAAAAATGGAACCTGCAAATAAATCAAGGAATATTTTACAGTGTTTTACATCATTTTATCCCAGCTGTAATCTGAACCTCTTCCCATTCTGGAATTACTTTGTGTCCTCATTGGGAACCCGTTCTTTTTAGACACAGCAGTTTTTTGGCTTGTGGCATTTTTTGATAGAATGATGTAGACCATTTGTGGTATACCCAAAGCTCACTGGATAATACTTTGCTGGGTTTCTGTTCTTTTTTTCTCCTTTTTTTTTTCCTTCTCCTTTCCTGCCAGTACTAGACCTCAGGTATCCCAACCATTTAGAGGGTGCAAGCCACCTTTTTGAATCACATCCTCAAATTGATTTCATTTTTTCATTTCATTAATTACCTTCTTTTTCATAACAAGTAGGAATACAGGCTATGACTTCTGTCACCAACTGTATATTTGCCAGTGTTGATATTAAACTCTCGATTTTGTGTGTTGGTTGTTTCCTTTGTACCAGAGGTATTGTGAAACAGGCTGTTCAAGGGATCAGTTCCAGTGCTCCAATGGCCAGTGCATCTCAGCAAAATGGAAATGTGATGGTCATGAGGACTGCAAACTCGGGGAGGACGAGAGAAATTGTGAACCAGGTATTGTTTTAATTAATGCTGGAAAATAAAATGAAGGAATGGCGCTGAAAAATGAAGTGAAATAAGGATTTAATCAGAATGAAAGTAGAAAATAAAGCATCAAATCAGGATTTCTTGGGCACTGGAAGTAGCAAGAAGTGCAAAGAAATCTGAAATACTTCACCTTTTGAGTGTGTATCATTGTGTCTTTCTACTGATGTTTTGAAAACCCCACTTACATACAACTCTGCAATGTGTAGCTTGTTGGGTCATGGGTATTTAATTTAATTATTTTGAAATGTATTTTGATGATAAATACTCAGCATATACCATTCTGCTCTGAAACCATCAGTAAATCTTGGCATGTAGCTGAAATATTTCTGAATTTTTTTTTCCTTTGTAGTCTTCATTCGGTGTTTACTGGTTTTGCAACTTTTTTTTTTTTTGTAGAGAAAATCTATTATATCTATTTCTTCATTATTATTATTTTTGTTAGTATTTGTTTCCTTTTTTACTCTCTTGGAGAATGCGGTTGTTTATTTTTACAGGAATTTTCCCTCATTTTTTTGCTAAGCTTCATGTTGCTGGATGTAACTGATAAAAGCCTATGACAACACTCCCCGATTATCAGTGTGACAAAAATATCCACCTTCATATTAAAATATCCTTCTTAATATTTATGAATTTTAATTTTATTTATGCATGCATTCCAAAACAGATGTATTCCTATAAATTTAGCCTGGTTAATTATAAATAAGCTAAAATTTAGCTAAACTCTAAGCCTGTTTTAAGGAATGCAGTTTTTAAATATTCTGTGAATATATGCATGGGTGTAGTTGCCTTTGTTACCAAACATAAGAAAAAAACAAATTTCRATTTCTAAGACACCTTTTCACCATCATTATACAATTTATTTAGGATGCAACAATTCAAATTTGTCAAACATTTTATTGTAGTTTATGAAAGTGTTCAGGTACAAGTTTGCTCATTGTGTTAAGCAGAGGAAAACTTCAAAAATCAACTTATTGATAAATTATCTTTTTCTTAATGCTAAAATATGTGTTTATAACCAGCATCTCCAACCTGCTCTTCAAGTGAGTACGTGTGTGCAAGTGGAGGCTGCATTTCGGCATCTCTGAARTGCAACGGAGAGTTCGACTGTGCTGATGGATCTGATGAGGTACCTGACACATCTGTTGATTCTTTTTTCCCCCAGTGTGATTTTTTGCAAAATTTTTAGGTCTCARAATAATTGAAAGGGCAAATAGSKTTTTCTYGCATKCRTTGAGTACTKTCAGRTARATTAGCCCCRTGATTTTGTGTTTCTGTGCTCTGTGGTCATGTTTTGGAGCAGATAAATTTGTTTTCTCTACGTCAGTCCTCAAGCACAATTCTGGGGCAGTTTCCATCAAGGACTGCTCTCTTCTGGCAGCACAGACAGGTCTGCTGTTGCTCTCATCCGTTAATATCGAGTCCGTATCTATATTCTCACAGATGGATTGTGTAACAGAATGCAAAGAAGATCAGTTTCGATGCAGGAATAAAGCCTACTGCATCCCTGTGCGATGGCTCTGCGACGGGATCCACGACTGTGTGGATGGCAGTGATGAAGAAAACTGTGACCAAGGCAAGAGACACTTTTCTAAAAACTTTTATTGGGCTTTTTATGGATACACATTTCCATAAATTCTGAGTGGAGAAAGGAAAGTTCTGTGACCTCTTTTGACAAAGTACAGCAGCTGAACAAGTGATCTGCGGGAATAAGCAAAACTTAGATTGTTTATGGCTTGGTYGTCCTTTGTGGTACCTTCCCCAGTGATGGAAAGGTCATGTTGTTACTGGAAACACATTCTTTCTCATCAAGGAAATCAGCAGTAAATCTGGGTAATTTCAACTTTTATAGGCCACAATAAATTACAAAGCCACGCACAATAAATTACACAGCTGTGCAATACAATGAGCAGTTGCTTAATAAGTCATCTCAAGAGTCTGGGTTGCTGTTTGTTTCAGAGAACCACAGAACACTTTGGGTTGGAAGGGACCTTAAAGTTCATCCAGTGGAAGGGAATCTTGCACTATCCCAGGCTGCTCCAAGCCCTGTCCAACCTGGCCTTGAACATTTCCAGGGATGAGGCTTCATGTCTACTTCTCTGAACAATCTGTGCCACTCTTCACCTTCTTTTTTGTTTGTGTTTGTCCAACTTTTTGACCCACACGGTCCTCCTGGAATTTTTGCCTGACTTTGTTGTGGAATCCATCACTCCTGGGGTTAGAAGAGGTGATGCTTGGACACCAACCAGGTTCTCCTGGGCTCCTCTTCCCTCAGAGCTTTCCCAAGCAGATTCCTGGAGAAGCCCAGTGTAGGGAGCAAATATGCACCCTCCTTTTAGCCCTGACGGTCCTGACCTCCCCCATTCCATGGTCCCTGCAGCCCAGGCTGCYCTTGAGCCTCACATCCCACACCAGCCCTTCCTCTTAGTCAAATTAAAGAATATTTTTTTCTAAAGAATAATTTTAGTTAGTATTTTGTCCTCTTTTGTTTTTTTTCCTGGATTTTTCTTCTTTTCTTTAAAGTGAGTAGCTCTGTGTGTCTACTCCATCTACAGTCACATGGTTTGTGCTGTAAATTCAAAAGCTGAATGAAGTATAATAATATGTGATAATAATCAGAAATGAAGCAAGCAGAGTAAAGTATTCTTTCCTTATTTTCTTTTAAGTCTATACAATACTTAACACTAAAGGGGGAAAAAAGGAAAATCATGTTATGCRGGGATGTTTAAGTTTGAAAGAGAAACCAGAAAATTCAGAAAATGGGAAGAATATTCCAGAGATGTTTAGCTGCAAGGCAGACAACAAAGTTAAAAAAAAAAAAAAAGCCCTTCTAGTCCATTTTAAAACTGCTTTTAAAATATCTGGACTGTGTCTCTTTAAAAACCAATGAGGTGTAAGTAAATAGTAACACACTTATTTTATCTGATGCCCCCATTATTCTTTGGGTAGGATAATGGAGCTTCTGTGAACTGCAAATTGCTTATAATGCAATAAGAAGCCTATTCCTAGTTGGTTATTGCTATAATACTTTGTATTTATGTCACAATTATGATTCTGTTGCAGAAATCTATTTTATAAAGGAATTATGACAGGCAGAGCAATCACATGAAACAAATGCCAGTTTATCTCACTGATAACTAAGTTTTTCATCTTTGGAAATACAGCAAACACAAATGGAGTTTTATTCCACAGCWTTCTAAAATAATATCCATAATATTTATCTGTAGCCCACTGTGCATGTTTATAAAAATAACTCTCTTCAATCTTATTAAACAACTAGAATGATGGTTATATTGTGATTGCACACACAATTATTTGGATTCATGCCTTTCATCATGAAGAGTACTTGAATTTTATATATTTTCYTTGGATGCTAATGCAGGGTATTTCTGTTAATGTGCATAAGTTATAATTGCCATTGGAGTGAATTATACCTGGTAGTGTAGAGTGAGAATTCTAACATTGTCTTATGCAATGGGCATTTCATGAAAATTAATTTTTTGGGGGGAAAAAAATCAGCCATTCTGAACCTTTACAGCAAAAAGGTGCTTCTGTTGATTTTAATGAGGTGTGAATAGGGCACTGAATGAATGAGTAAAAAGCCACCGAAAGCTGATGGAGCTCTTAGAGTGGCTGTAATGCTTTGAGGTGAGCCACAGTGAGAGTTTGGGCATTATTGTATAAAATTTAATTGTTTCCTCCTCTGCAGGTACACAGCTTTGTTTCTTTTATATTCCACTCCTCTCAGGAAACTGAAAATCCAGTTACCATAAAAATGYGTTTTATAGGAAATTAATAGCAAGAACTTTTCATAACTTTGTTGATTGGTGGTGATAAAATTTAGTCATAATTGTGAAACAAATTCCTTCTTACCACGACACACATTAAAACCAAATCCACCTTGAACTAATTCTAAAAGCCTSAGCAATCCCCCTTAAAACATTTTCTCTCACCCTATGTTCCCCTTTGTTGGYTGATTCAGAGTTCAGTACATCCTGAGATTATATGGAAGATTTTCTTCTTGTTGCTTTCTGTGTTCAATGAATCTCCAAAGAGCTGCAAACACAATTTMAACATTTCCTGGCTGAATGCAGGTGGAACGTGCCCAGCTGTTCACTTGTTGGTACCTTTGGTAACTGCACTTTCCAGTCAGGCAAAATAGGTAATTCCTGATTAGCAGGCAGGAAAAGGAACTGTTTGGTCAAGGAAGAGATTTTTGAATGATTATTTCCYCTGCCTCTTCAACCCTTTCATCTGGGATCTGTAAATTTAGTTATGCTACCTGTGTTATTCTCTGCAAATTGGATGTGATGAGTGGTTGTGCTGGTTTTATCAAAAACTGACATTCTTCCATCTTTTTGTCTTCCTGCCTTTTTCTTCTGTCATCTTTTCATTTTCCCAGGGGGAAATATATGTAGAGCTGATGAATTTTTGTGCAACAATTCCCTCTGCAAACTGCATTTTTGGGTTTGTGATGGTGAGGATGACTGTGGAGATAACTCTGATGAAGTTGCAGAAATGTGTGGTATGACATWACATTTTTCAGACTTTTTTGTTATAATGAGCAAGAATGACGTGTAAGACACACAAATATATAAAGAAACATGTGTTTTAAGTTTAGTCTGGCTTTAGCAGATAAGTTTGAAATATGGGATATTATTTTCTTTTGTTATTGTTTTTCATGTAATTTTGGATATAATACCTGTAAGAAATTAATCTTTTCTGTAGGAAATTGTCAGAGGGGGGAAAGTTACTTGTATGATGTAATGTTGATCATTACACTTCCTACTTGCTTGGTGTTAATTCTGCCCAATTTATTTTTTGTCACAAAAAGTTGTAAATTAAATCACACAAACTCTCGAAATKAAGAACTTACAYTGCCAGCATGGATCTGGCTTTGATRRRGTGTSATTAAAGAAGGATTGACAATTCTGGCTGGGTGACAGCTGATTCTTTTCTTTACCATGCAGTGAAGTTTCCGTGCCCTCCAACGAGGCCGTTCCGATGTAGAAACAACAGAGTTTGTCTGAGACCCGAGCAGATCTGCAATGAGGTCGATGACTGTGGGGATAACTCGGATGAAGATCACTGTGGTAGGTGAATTATCTTTCAAGGCATTCAGATCAGGGAAAACACCTTGAAGGCAAACTTYGTTACAGAGATCTGCTTGTCCTTCAAAGTAAAAGTTTAACTGGAAGTTAGCAGATCAGAAAGAAATTAAGCTTGAAATAATTTCCAGTTGCTTAATGCTTCGTGGCCATTCCCATTTGTGTGTGTCTGAAATAATCTGAGCATCTCAAATGCTGATTTCTTTTTCTCTTATTAATCTGTAATTATGTAGATAAAATCACATCCAAAGCCAGGCCGTGCAAAAAAGATGAGTTTGCTTGCAGTGATAAGAAATGCATTCCGATGGAGCTGCAGTGCGATTGGTTTGATGACTGTGGAGATGGCTCCGATGAGCAAGACTGCAAAATGAGTGAGTTGGGCTGACAAGATCTGGTTTCTTGATTGCAGCAGAAAAGAAAAGAAATAATTAACCAAGACATTCATCTGTGCAAAACCTATTGAACAATAGAGAGCTCAGTTTAATGTAGTTCTTTCTTTTAGTTAAAAATGGATGGAATTCTGTACCACAAGAGTAAGGCAAATTTTATTGCAATTCAAATTGTAGAGGTTTTTTTTGAGCAGCTACAAGTTCCTTACAAAATTTAAGTCAAAGTTGATTGCATTTCGTTTCATATGTGCAGCAAGAAAATTTTTAATAATAAATTATTRATGTGAAATATAGTATCTCAGTTAAATACTGTCATTACTGTCATTACATAAAATATAATACATTAAATTATGGAAATGTAGGTAAACACTGTAATGTTATTTAATTAAAAGTTTACCAGATACTTTTTTAACAGAAAGATAATTTTTTTATTTGTTGTTGTTACTCTAGATCGCATTTTTAATACTTTAAACAAATCTCTCAAAGATTTTTTCAGACATTTGGTTTATGTTTAGGTGTTGCTGAATATACTTGTGAAGATAATGTGAATCCTTGTGGAGATGATGCATTCTGTAATCAAACAAAATCATCCCTTTTGTGTCAGTGTAAACCTGGATTTCAGAGAAACAGGAGTAACAGACAATGTGAAGGTAGAGATATTTTCCAACTTCCCTTGCTGTAAAGTATTAAAAGTCAACTCTGTAGTCAATTTTCTATGATGGAAAAGGAGATGCACATCATATTTTTTTTTTCCCCACACAGTAAAAGCTGTTTTGTAGCTATGGGATTAAGAAATGATAATAATAAAAAAAAAATTAAAAAAAAAAAAAACAGGACTTACAACATTCATACATTTTACCTGGAGAAGTTATCAAAGATTTAACGTTAGTTGTGAATGTCAAAATGTTCAAGTCATACTATTAAATAATTTAAGGAGTAAATTAATTTTTAAGGTCTAGTAGATTATTTAACATTGGCGTTGAGGTTGGCATAGGAGAATATTTTGAGATGCTTAAAATAATGAAGATGCTTAATACAAAATTGAAATCAGAGTAAACAGAAAGCAAAATTCTTTAGARAATGTAGTCTTAATATATTTGATGCCATTCTGGTCAGCAGGAAAACACACTTAGTATAATGAAAGGGTTGATTGGGAAGATAAGCTAAATCTGCCTTCCCAAGGAATGGGTTGTGAATTCATTACTGGTGAGCAGTAATTGACAGAAGGAGTTCAGGTCACTTCAATGGGACTATCAAAGTGAATAAATACTTCATTTTTTGTCTCTTAAGAAAAAAGCTTTTCCAATGAGGATAATCATGTAATTTTGGCTGTACTAGAGGTAGGTGTGTTGGGCATAACTGTAGCACATATTTTAATTTTCAAAGTTGGTTTCAAGTTCTGCTGATGACAAGTTGACAAATAGAGGATAGAGAAATATAAATTCCCTGAGACACACTGATTGCAGTGGAAATAGCAGAGAAATGAGAGAGGTTTCCTTTTGCTATTGCAAGATCTAGCACTGCTTATGAGTTCCTTTTGTTCATCTGCTTTTTTCCATGATTTTATGAATATGTTAAATAATACTGTATTAAACCATAGGTGTATAAATTGCATTTTTTTTCTTCATAGACATCAACGAGTGCATGGTGTTTGGTGCCTGCTCCCARCACTGCCACAATATAAAGGGCTCTTACAGATGTGCGTGTGAGAAAAATTATAAGGAGCGGAATAACGGTTGCATAGCAAAAGGTAAGGCTGTAAAAACCAAAATAGGCAGTACTGCCATTCGTTATACACACGGTCCACATTTTTTGAAGCAAATTTGCCATGGGAAAATCATATTAATGAGTCATTAGTATTTCATACATAGCATGGACTCTCTCAGGGTTTAGCATCATTGCCTGTTACTAAAGAAACCTGATTATGACATGGGAACAAACAGGGTTACTAATTGAAGGTAATGGTTTGTTATTATAGGAACATAGGCATCATTCTGAGGGCTTATAATTTAAAAATCTGGGAGTAATTATCTTAAATCTGAATTTTTCACAAGCCTCATTTCCATTGTAGTACAGTTCATGTTTCCCTCTTCCCTTCATTGGTATTTGCTTTAACCAAACTCCTCTTTGTTCTTGCATTTATCTGGAGGAAGGGAACAAATGATATTTGATATTTGATACTCATTAGGAGGAAATGTGTTGGACAGACATTTGAAGTTGATTCTCAATGGATAAATGTGATATGAACTGGGAAATAAAATAATTTAAATACRTTCTAATGTATCCAGCAGATTTCCAATTCTCTCAAAACTCAATTAATTGATACCAGATAGCATTTCCTTATGAATAATACACTTTACAACAGGTGGATCAAGATGATATCTGGCTATCTGAAATGAGGAGATGTAAGACACAACTACACAGGTTCTGTTGCAGTCCATGTCAAAACTTCACTGCCTTCACTAAAGATAAAACAATCCCACTTCTAATTTCCAATTAAGCAATTTAAAAAATGGTTATTGACAGCTGTTTTTGTTTAATATATACATTTAGGATCCTCTAAAGACAGTATGCATATAAAAACATGGGATTCATATGGGCTGAGTGAATAACGTCCTGTATTTTTATATACTGCTTAAAAGTGTTCAAATACTTACACTATATTATTAAAGTATAGTCTTGGGTGTTGCACTGTGAGCTTGGAGAGAACTGAAGCTGATATGTTGATTTATTAAAAGAGTTGCATTTATTGCCCAGAGTGTCGGTGCTTTTGCAGTCTTCAACAACCAGAAAATAATTTTGACATAAGAAATTATATCAGCTAAACACCAAAAAGCTACTTGAGTTGTACCCACTGATTTTGCATGAGTTGACATTTACCTTATTTTTGTTTCATTATAATAATCCCTAGGCTCTGAAGATCAAGTTCTCTATGTTGCTAATGACACTGACATCCTGGGTTTTGCATATCCATTCAACTACAGCGATGCTCATCAGCAAATATCCCATATTGAACACAATTCAAGGATAACTGGGATGGATGCATATTTTCAAGGGGATATGATTGTTTGGAGCACTCAGTTTAATCCAGGAGGGATTTTCTACAGAAAACTTCACGACAGAGAGAGGAGGCAGAGYAACAGTGGCTTGATAGTAAGTGATCAAAATCAAAGATTAAATCACACACATTTCTTTCCGTTTGTTTTTCTGTTCTGACTATAATTGCACAGGCTGGTTTAGTAAATTAAAATGTCTATCTGAGAATGATTTTATTTCAGTGATATTATATGGCTACTGATGCCTTTCCATTCAAGACTCTGACAGACTTGGAGGAGTCTCCAAGAGAGCACAATTGTAGGATTTAAAAAACAGAGAAAAAGATCAGCATTTTTAGAAGCTTGGAAAGTCTGTGTATCATCAAGATTTTTTTTATTTCAAGAGACAATAGAGAAGAATATAATATATATAATAAGAAAGCCATGAATTTCAAATCCTTGGAAGMCAGAAAATGGAGATAGGCTAAACACAAGATTAATTTCTGCAGTGATCATATAAACAATAATATTGGCAGTGTTATGATATATATTTAAACATTAGAAAAATAAGTATTTATTCCTGTATTTGTTGGACTGCATTTTGAATAAGCATAAATATAAATTTGGACTTCACAACATAAATGTGGATTTTTATAAGCTTGGGTAAGTTCAGGTGGTTTTTACTTGAAAACAAAATAAATGTATGTTGTTGCTCATTTTGCCTGATACATTTCTACAAAATTCTCTAGGAAGTGATAGTGCTGAACTGAGGAGAACAATGTGGTCTTTACATTGGTGTTTCTGTAATGCTGTAAATTTAGATTCTGGGTTTTTTACTCTTTATTTAATTTGACAGCAGAGTAGAGTTTTTATATTTTTTCTTACCCAGTAGTAAATCCAGTTAGAACAAACACCTGTCTTGGTGTTCCACGTTTCCTTGTGTAAGGCAGCAGTGATGACCTTCCATGATGTGACTGCTTTTACACACCCAGCAGAATAAACAGGAGTGGCAACAGCAGCCCAACCTTTCATCCATAATTCAAACACAGCAGAAAACATTTCTGAGTGCATTCCATCCAAGGATATTTCCTCTCCAAATGAATGATGTTCCTGACCTTTGACCCCAGCAAGGCAAAAATCCTCAGGATGTAGACACCAATGGACACTGAAAATACCTTGAGTTGTGGCATCTTTATGAGAAGAGTGGTTTCATACCAACACTTCCACCTGCCCCACAGAAGTATCTAGATTTTTGTTGAGAGAAAGTGTTTGTAAAGTAGATCTGAAGCAGAAAATAATTCCTACCACTCCTAGCAGGTCAGCTCTGTCATTCTGRGTTTTGCAGAAGGATTGTATTGAAGATCTGGTGTAATTTTTCTGTGGTGTTTTTCTCATTGTATATTTGTGCTTAAAAAATCCTGATAACCAGGTCTCTCTAATGAATTCATTATGAGAAAATAATGAACTTTGAAAGCCTTGTGAAATCAAAGTGTTGTGATAGCATGTGGTGCTGTTATTTATTTATTTCCATTCAATTTTGGGGTAATACACAGATGAAATCTGCAATAAGAGCAGTCTGCTGACCCACAGCCTTCCTAATGGATCTTTCTCACAGATCCATAAAATTCAGCATGAGCTTCCTTCAGACTTCTTCATAGTCCAAGGGTTGAAATTTTCACAGCTTATTTGTCATTGTCTCTCTGCTTAAACTAATAGAGATAAAATCTTCTTAAAATTACTATCTTCCTAGCATTTTGAAATAGTTTTTGGTTTTCATATGCATTTCACTTCTGAGAATCCTTTTTAGTCACTTCCTTTTCAATTAAATAATACTGAAAAAAAAGGATGTTTTTTCTTTACAGCCCATGTTCCCCTCTCTCTTCAGTGCAGGTAGGTCCTCGTGACAATGCTTGAKCCAAGCCACACAAAGCTTTTTTACAAATCCAAATACAGAAAATGCACAGACTGTGTTTGAATATATCTCGGGCACGTCTCATTTATATTTGAGAAACATTTGCTTCTCATTGTGCTTAACTATTCAGTTATTTTYCCAGCATTGTCTCATTAATACTCAAATATTGTTGCCTTGTTTGCAGCTGATCAATAGGTTAATTGGTTTTATAGTGTTGCTTTAATATTGTCACTGAAATTTGGTTTTAAAAAGCTTGAGAATTTCCTAATTTTAACCCAAGTTTTTTTTTTTAATGGATGAGTTTTCAAAGGTTACATTATAACWTTTATATCTAGACTTTGATATGTAAATCAGGACGGCAAACTTGAACAAAGTCACCTGCATTTTTCAGGTAATTACATTAATGCAAAAATCCATCTCAACCRAAATTGCTCCACGGAATTAGCATATCAAGAGCCTTCCTCAGAGAACAGCTTTAAGTAGCTTCCCTGTTTTTTTCTGTGAAAAGGGGTTTAAGACTGGTACAAATTCAGACATTAAAGGCAATAGTAAATATCAACTCTTCAGAGTTTATTGACAGGTGCAGAAGAGGATTTTGTCCCAGGTGAGTTCAGACAGTCAAAGTGAATTGGTGATAGCAGGAGCAGCTGTTTCTGATGATCCTTGGAGAGAGATGGAGGAGTTATCTGAGGTGAACACTCAGCACAGAGCRACCTCACACTTCAGCTCAAGTGCTTTATTTTATGGGAGAGGACAAAAAGAGGAACGTTAAACCTCTGGTACCACATAATAGGGAGGAAAGCATGGGGTTTGTAGTTTTTTCCAGTGGTTTTATTGGCAGTCTGCTCCTGCCCCAGTATTTGAGAGCTCAACAAGGACCCTTAACCACTCTGGTGACACGTCCACGTGTTCTCCCAGGCCCAGAGGAGTGCAGTGCATCCCTGTGAAAGCAAACTAATTCTGGATGATTTTCTCTAAATAGCATGAGTTCAGTGTTTTTCCTTGGAGCTTCGATGAAGGTTATATACTTAGGGCACTCTTCCTGGAATCAGCTGCTTGGGATTTGTAAATGGTCCTATTTTATGTAATGCAAATGGTGGTTTGGTGATCACTGCTCCCACTGGGATGCTCATCTGTCAAGGAAAATGTGTTTCAGCAGGCAAAAGTCTAAAAGTTTTCTTGTTTCTCACTTTTTGGTTACTGTTCTAGTAATATATCATTACAAAATGTATTATTTTTTAATGAATAAATCCTAAGCCAAATAAAACATTTATTTTCTTTGTTCCACAGCAATTCCATACCAAAAATATCTGCAAAATAAAAAGGATAAAATATTGCCTCACATATGCTTATGATACAAACTAGAAATGTCATTTAGGGATGTGTTTCTATTCAATGTATAACGTATTTTCTCCACTCAAACTCAACTTTAGGGGCTGAAAATCTGTAATTGGCCATTATATGAAAATGGTTTCCAGATCCAAGTCGTTACGGCAGCTTCTTTTTTTGGGTTTTTTTTTTTTTTTGGTTGCTGTTTTTTTTTTGTTCTTTTAAATAAATTCTTTACCTTGAAATAGAATTTACAAAAGACAGAAGCTCTGATCAAAAGTCATTGAGCTGACGTGGTCTGCAGCTGTGCGGAGGCAACCAAATTGTAAAAGGCAATTAGGCTTCAAACCCCAATTTTTCTAATAAGTTGTAGAACATTATATTTAGCATCAAAGTGGGCTGAAAATGCTGTAGAAAGTATTAATGTGATTTTCTTCCTGTATTTTCATCCTTATGTTGTATGCAGAATTATCATTCAAAATTAGCATAATCCAAATAAGCTATTAGGTAAGAGCTCATTTACACTAAATAATTTTAGCAGCCAGGATGAGAAGATGTAGAAGACCTCAGAATTATGATGCAGCTGAAACTTAATGAACACAACTGGAAATTATTCAGCCATAGCATCAGTTTGTGTGTTGTTTTTCTTCTTTTTCAAAAATCTCTTAYGCCGGATGGCTCCTTGCCATTTCTTCTTCTTCATTTGATTTTTAATATTTCCCCCAGTATTACTGGAATTTTACTTTTCCTGGCTGGTTTAGGAGAAAGAGTCAGTATTACTCAGCAACCCCATCCTTGTTCCACAATCTTTTTAGGATCTTCCATTTAGGATGTCTCATGTGCTTCTAGAACCAGCTCATTTAGGAACAATCTCTCATTCTGCTTGGTAACTCCCATCATGGTCTTTCCAGGCTCCCAAAAAAAGAATCTGATTGTTTTTTTTGTGGAAGCCTGCCACTGTCATCATTTCATACCAAATAATTATGATACAATGCTATGTTCAACTTTAGAAGACAGCAGTGACCCTGTTTTTTAAAGAAATGCTGTTTTGTAAATACAGTGCTTGATTTTGCTGCTTTGCCCTTCATCTAAATAGAAAATCAAGGTTCTATATATCTATAAAACATACCTTCTATGACATTTTTGCAGAATTCAAAGTTTATGAACAATGAACTTTCTTACATTCACCCTTGTGGTCTTATTATTTCACCTAGAGAATGAAATGACCTTTTTTATGATGAAAATAGTCTACAAATGTCTTGTGGTATTTGGGAACTCTGACACCTGAGGAAAAACAAGTTATTTTAGGATTTTCTTTCCTGGTTTTCAGTTATGTAGCTTAGTAGCATACCATTGCTTCATTTGTTGAGAAATATGTGGGTTTTGCTCATAATTTAACTTGAAGTCTTTATAGATGAACAATTTTATATGTATTTAGTTCGTGTTGGTCTTCAGTTTTCTTATATATATGTTTTTTGATATACAGTTTTTTTATGATACATGCATTCATGTTAGAAATGGATAATCCTGTTTTACAGGTGCTACTCATTTCTGCAGGAATTTCAGTAAATTCTAGAGAAACTTGATAAAGACGTTGACATAGATGTCCTATTTGCAATATGACCTTCTATCCTTTGGACTATTTTTTTAGGACTAGGTCTCAATGAAAAATCATGATGGAAACCCTACAGTTGATAAATGTAATGTTATAATCAGTCAAGCCTCTTTCATGTGTGAAGCTGAATATTCGTGAAAATGGAAGGATTTTATGCAGTTTTTTAATTCAGTGATTTTCTCTGCCCTCGGCAGCCATGCCTCAGGATGAGCTCACACTGTTTTCACTGGGGGCTTTAGGATGGAAAGCCCAAAATATTTTCTTCAATACTTCTTTTTCCTTCAGTTTTCAATTACAGTCCATAACGCTTATTTGCTTCAGTATCAATAATTCAAATAGTTGATGCCAAAGTGACTTTTTTCTTTTTTTTTTTTTTTTTTTTTTTAATATGGGTAGCTAAAACTTGAGAAAACAGATTTGAACCTTTGACTTGTCCTTCTGCATTGTATGGAACTGTGAGCAGATCCCTTAGAGCTGGTCTCCTGCAGGTGGAGTTTACACCTGTACAGTGCAGCGTTTCTAACGTTTTGCTGTAAAAAATTACCCAAATCAATGGCTGTGCAAGACCATTTCCACAAACCTGACTGCAACATCCATTCTTTTCAGTGTCCAGAGTTCAAAAGGCCGAGGGGCATTGCTGTGGACTGGGTGGCTGGCAATATTTACTGGACTGACCACTCCCGAATGCATTGGTTCAGCTATTACACCACACACTGGACCAGCCTGAGATATTCCATCAATGTGGGGCAGCTGAAGGGACCCAACTGCACCAGGCTCCTCACCAGCATTGCAGGGGAGCCATATGCAATTGCTGTCAATCCTAAAAAAGGGTATGTATCCTTCAAAAACATCACTCTGTCTCGGTAATTCAGATGAAATTGCAAAATGGAGCAAGGGAATTAAAGTTATGTCTATGAATGTCTGAACTTTTCCAAGTTGTTTGCTTAACTTTCCTGCTCAATTTACCAAGATGTAAACCCAGATCTGCCATCTTCCAGCAGAGTTGAAAGGTGCACAGCAATTAAATATCAATGAAAAACATTTTGAGGTTCTGTACAGTCGTTCAGCTGAATTTTTGTGTTTAATTTTTATAGGATGATGTACTGGACAGTTATTGGGGATCGGTCTCACATAGAGGAGTCGTCTATGGATGGTACTCTTAGAAGGATCTTGGTTCAAAAGAACCTGCAAAGACCTACAGGTAAACAGATTATCCTTGTTCCTGAATACGTGTTACTTGCTAACTCACTGGGGATTTCAGTTTCTCAGTTTCCAGAAAAAAAAAAAAAATTAAAATCAACAACAAAAAACCAAACAAAAGCACCAAAAAAAACCAAAAACCCCAACAAAAAGAAAAAAAACTAGCAGAAAAAAGCCCCTAAAAAACCCAAAACAAACAAAAAAAATCAACCAAAAAAACCCAAAAATAGCAACAACAAAATACATTTTCATGTATTTACTACCTGAAAACACTTCTGTGAAATCCCTCTGTGCTTTTCTTCCTTTACTTCATGGTAGAAAGTTGATGTTTATGGGGTCTTTTTTGTCAGGTATTGAACACAGGTCCCTGTCTTTGTAAAGGGAATGCAAAGAAAGAGTTCAAACCTTTAATATTTCCTCCCAAATAGGACTTTGCTAATGTTGTTTACACTGCTCTTAAATTTATTACCACATAGGCCTTTCCTATTTTAAATAAGAGGGAGTGAGAGTTCGAGCATTTGGGCTTGACTTTCGTAGCATCTACATAGAAATGACTATTACAGGAGCGTTATATGTATAAAACAAATACAAGTTTTTTTAATCTCTGAAAATGTGAAACATACATTGAGATTGTTATTTATTTATTATTTGGTATTTAAATAATCTCATTTTTGCATAAAATGCAAAGAATAATTTAAAGCTGGAGAGTGGGAGCTGCTTCTAAAACATYCCCCTCACAGGTCCCATGTATCACACAGAACTGACACATTGTGATTGCCTTTTACCAGTAATTATTCTCTTTAGCCATGAAGAGAATTATCCCTGAATACGAGTGCTTCTTTAAAAGAGGGTTGTTTTTTTTTTTTTTAATGGAGTTTAAAATGTAAACATATTTCACTGCTCTGTGAGTCAGATTTTCTCCACTTCCTCTCATCTGTCTGTAGCTGATTAATTTATGACCTTAAGAGGAGTTTTTTTTGCTGTTATGTCTAATTTCTTTTGATGTATTTTTTCTGACTTACCTACTTACATAAATAGGAAGAAAAAGTACTCTTTTCCATTCTTATTAAAGATGCACTGCAACTTCAAAAGCTCAGAATGAAATTACTTTATAGTTCCAACATTTTCTTCAGGCTGAAGTTTTTGACATGACCTAAAATGGCATATTAACCATTTAATCTTCCTCTATGAAGCATGGACTACTTGATTTAACTATTTTATTATTGCCTAGAGGCTGGGTATTYATAATGCCATCTATATTTTAGTATCTTGTGGTTTCATATATATAGATAAATATATATATATATATATGTATATATGCCAATGCTGCTGTTTTAAGTCTTGCAGCACCAATGTAAATAAAACAATCTGATTTTTAATTCTGCATGTGAAGTATTGGTGATAAAAAAGACAAATATGTGTGGAAACACGTGAGGTTACAAGGACTCTATGAATTCTGAATGCCTTGTTTTTAATTTGTGATCACACAGGTACAATTGCCATACTTGATTTTGGTTGGTTGAACAGGTTAGAAGATTTAAATCTGTTTCATTCTCACTTGGTAATTATATCCTTACCTGCTGAGGAGAATGGGTGAGAAAAGGTGCTGACCTTGGCAGAGTAAGGTAAAGARARCCAAAAACCATGGCTGCCCCAAGGKGAAGGTTCAAGTGAGAGYTGTTATATTTTATTCTCCTTTGTTTCAGTCAAGTTTTTCGTTGTCACAATATTTTGTGTGCATAAGACTACGAATTATATAGAAATGTACAGTTACATAACAATATTAATTTTTTTCCTGGTTTTATGTACCTATCTGAACTTTATCTCCTTTGCAGGTCTCGTAGTTGATCAGTACAGCCAGCGCTTGTTCTGGGCTGATTTTGAATTATCTGTTATTGGCAGTGTCCTTTTTGATGGCTCCGATTCAGTTGTGTCTGTGAGCACAAAACAAGGTATGGAGAGCTGTGTTGAACACGATTCCTGTTTTATTTCATTTGGCTGAAGTTTCACTATTCAGGGAAATTGTAAGCAAAAATCAGTGGTTATTAAGTAATATGTTATTGTTAGCCAATGTTTCAAATATTATCTAAACAGATTACCTTCAAGACAATCTAATAAAACTACCTTGGGGGAACAAAGGTTCAATGATTTGTGCAGATCTCCAAGTTTAGGTATTATTGAGTAAAATTGTGGGTAATAATTAGGTTTGGTCTCACTTGGACTTGGAGCTGCCTGCACTGAATGGGAGTTTTAGGGGTTGTAGAACTGCTGATCTGAATCAGTTCTTGGAGAAATAATGGGCTTAACTTTGAGGTCAGTGAGTAATCACAGAGTTCTGCTAACAGAATGTGAATGGGGAAAGTTCCTGTGATAAGGAAAGACATTCTTCTTAAACTGTTTTTATAGGGTTGCACAATGGTTTTTCAACAATTTGTTGAGTAAAAAATAATGAAAATTGAGAAGTGAAGGAACACATTGAAAAATACTTGAAAGCAGACTTTTAGAGAGGCTTGCTTAGTGGACAGTTGGTTCAGGGTGATATATGTGGTACTATTGAGTGTTTTAACCCAGAATTCATTAGGATATTCTGGAATGTACTAGGAGAAATCTCCCATAACCCAAATTGGTCTGGGCAACATTTAAATCGCCATATTTTGGATTAAAAATATTTTATTGCACAATTTCTATCAGTACATGAAGGAAATCATCTGCAGCGAGATCACTTTGAGTGTAGGGATCTGACCAAAACCTGCTTTAGCACTGGACCAAAGGAAAATTTGGGGAGTTTAGAAATTGCTTGAGGCTAAAAACTTCAACCCGTTGAACTAAACATGCTTGGAATAAATAATTAGAATTAATACATCTTTTTATGAAAATAAAATACTGAGTACCAAGTATTACAGCACAAAGGAACATTAGGAAGAAATAAAGGCTCATAGATGAAATTAAATAAATGCAAGGGAAATACAAAGCCATTTTTAGAGTAAATGGACTAGGAACAAGGTATCACAAGGAATGATAGTTTCTGTTTCTTTGTGGCTTCAGGAAGAGATGCATCTCAGGCGAAGAAGTTTTAGTTAGGAGCCATTGTCTTGTTAGAGGGGTAAATGTGAAATTCTACAGCCAGCTTGGCATAGAAAATCCAACTGGTGGCCTAACAGGCCCTCAGAGCTCTTAAAAATGAGGAATTGCTAGAGTTAATAATTTATTTTGCATTAATTTACTGTAATTATGAATTAAAATAAGTGTGGTACAAAAAACTAGCATTTCAAATATGTTAGCAAGGAGTTGAAGAGATGTTTTGTGAGAATAATTTGACATAAAGCAACATTATCTGTTTTTTCCTTGTCACATACATGGAGTTAAAGTGTTGTACCAAGGTAGAACAAGTATGTTGCAATTAATGAGTTGTTACTGCAGACTTTCCCTATTTTTCAATGATCAGCCAGTTTCTGAGGCTCAATTGTGTGGAAAACTAGTAAAAAGCTTGAGATTTAACTTGTCTGCAGAATGGGAAGATTTTCTTCTAGGCAGTTTGCTTTTTTAAAGGCAATGTTTGTAGGGACAAAACAAGCTGTCTGAATGATAATGTCCTTAGGTGATAATCATAATCATTAAATTGAATTTTGTATTAAAACCAAGTTGTTTATTATTTGAATATGAATATGTATTTTTCTTTAATATCCATTTTTATTCAAGGTTTACTGCATCCACATAGAATCGACATTTTTGAGGATTACATATATGGAGCAGGCCCCAAAAATGGTGCATTTAGAGTGCACAAATTTGGCAGGAGCCTTGTAGAATACCTAAGTGTGGATGTTGATAAAGCAAAAAGTGCCTTGATTTTTCACCGCTACAAACAAATGGACTGTGAGTAAGCATAATTACTTTAAACTCAATATCGAGCACATTCACCTCAGGGGGGAAACAGTAACCAAGCTGTATAAATATAAACCAGAGCCTGATTGTACAAATTGAAAATAGATTTAGTCATATTTCTTTGTATAATTTTGATTTGGGTTATTTGATGCGTTTTCGCTCATTTGAAACGACGCTGGGCAAATTTGTACACAAATGTCTTTTAGACCTGCACTGCAAATGAGGTATAAAAAAAAAAATTAGTAGAGAGATGAATAAAAATCCCTCTAGCCAGAAGCAGATGAAAGTTTTTACGCCGTGTTACCAATGCATTTTTGTTAATGGAATAAATTCTGCTGTTTGAGGGACTGTGTTCATGGATTTCAGGCTGCTGATACCTTGGAAAGTGGAATTTTTGTTTCTGATTATTTATCATGGGTTTGGAACATAGTTCTAATTTTTTTAAATAAAATTTCTATTATTTTTGTCTTTTTAAACAGTGCCTAATCCATGCTTGGACCTGACGTGTGAATTCATCTGTTTACTCAACCCTTCTGGTGCAACGTGTGCTTGTCCAGAAGGAAAATCATTGATGAATGGAACATGCATTGATCAGAGCCTCTTAGGTAGGTATTGAAAAGTGCAGAAGAACCAGAAAATAAACAGCTGGTCAGTTTTTGTCAATGCAGAAAGCTGGTTGTGAGTCCAGAGTTTTGTGATGTTGTTCAATAATAACATTACTGAGCTGAAATGCAAAGGAAATATGAAGAAACCAAATCCCTGATTCAAAAAAATAGTCCCCTTGCTAATATTCATCAAAATGAAAAATGAGCCTTCAGCTTAACTGATACAAGATGATTCTTAAATGTGAATGGGCATAAATATTGCCTGAAAGAAGTTTGAAAAGCTCTGAAGTATTTTGGATCCCAAATCAAACACGAGCCATTTGGGAGAAAAAAACACTGCAACAATGCTGAAAAGGCAGTGAGAGCAACAGAGCAAATAAAAAKTAMTTYRAAGCAACAGTCAAAGAAAGGAAAAAACTGCAGCATTTTCATCTAAAATTATTTTAGATATATGAATGACTATATAATAACTAATACTGAGACACAGGAAACCGGATTTCATGGGAAAGGAGCCTCTAAGTTCTTGCTGTGTTTTAGGGATGGGGAGGGAATCTTTTTCATAGGAGATTATTAAGTGCTTTAAAACTTCTTTCACTCTAATTTAGGCCAAACCTAAGGTAGTCAGACTCCTGGAATGATTTCTTAGTGAGCTTGAATTTTAAAATGTTCTAGAAAGCACAAACAGCATTTTTTGTGTGTATTACATGTATTAGGATGTTTTCCTGATGTTTAATTCCAGGCTCAGAAGTGCAAGTGATGGATATTTTGGTGAGATCCTCAGTGCTTAAAGTGTTCAATTTAGCAATTAAACTAATTTACCTGAAATGTCATAATTCCCTGGAGAAAATCTCACCAATCCATACTGCCTAGGCATTGAATATTGACTTAAGAGCTGTGTTTTAGTGGTTCATGATGGGGATTAATAAAAATATTCAACTCTGGACACAAATCAGTCTGAACACCCTCCCTACCCCTCCAACTGTCAGCTCTTTGTCCATCTCAGGGGGATATTTGTCAAGAATTTATGCTGTTACAGCACCTCCTCAAATTATTTCAAATTACCCATTGTTATTACTTTGGTGTTGAAAAATGAACAGATAAAATAATTTTGTTTTTCACTGCTGACTTGTACCAAATTGAACCCATAATTTCAGTAATGATCCATATTTACTAGTGGGCAAAGGATTATGTCATGGTAATGTTTTCAGGGAGGTGTATTTTTATTAAAGACATGAAGAGGTTTTTAAATGACTTATTATAAATTTTTATGTATGGACAGAAAATGCCTAGAGAAGCATTTTTAATATATTGGTAATTTTCAGTGCAGTACCTTCCTACGGCTGCAATATCTTTTATGACTTTTTCAAGGATTGCTGAATAAGTGTTTCTTAGTTTTGTTTGGTTTTTGTCTCTCTGTTTGCAATTATATTTCAAGTAATGTCTTGTGTAGGCTTTTCCTTACATTTTTTTTCTCAGGACATTATTTTTGTACTAGTAGATTGCAGGTTTTGTAGCATCACAGATTACAAATCATGAGCTGAAACAAACTTCTGTATCATAGTACTTTCTAATAATGCTTTTGCACTATTTTTTTTAATGTGTAAGTGGGTGTTAAATGTTTCTCTTGCTGATACTCCCCTTAAGTTTCCAAGGACCAGCAGAGATTCCTGGAAAGATCAGAGCTGTCCCAAGATCAGCATCTTGAACTGATGGCATTCCACTTCCCATTAATAGGTCACCAATAGCCTGAAAACAAAAGAAAAGTCAATTTATAGATCAGGTTCTTTTCTTTTAGGAGGCTATACAGCAGAAAACTAAGTATCCAAATTAGGAGAGAAAATATAAAATTACATGATCTGTAATCCTTTCTTTCATGTTAGAGAGATTCAGTAGCTAGACTGGGGTAGGATAGGTGAAAAGATTTTGCCTCTGTCGTTTCAAAAGTGTAAAGAGCAGCTGAGAGGTCTTTAAATCTAAGTTCAGCATGCTCAGAGAAGTATTGAAGGATGAAGTTAGAAACTTTCTGATTTTTTTTTCTTTGAAAACTTCATTCCAAGAGTGGGTACTTGGTAAACCTGTTCCCACCTCTTCTTTCTGAGGTGTTTATTCAGTAATTCAAATTAAGTCTATTCAGCTTTTTATTCTAATTCTTCTGTGTTTTTCTCCTGTATTCCTTTTCTTCCTGTGTTCTCCTATGGGACTATTCTGCTCATATCTCCTACACAAAGGCATCTGATCCCCTTTTGTGCTCAGTTGATGTGAATCAGTGTAATTTATTTCTTGTATTTACCTCCAGACAGCAAAGCAGCAGCATGAAACTCCTGATATTGTTCAAGCCTAATACACTATTTTCAAACTGGCTCATGCATTGCATCTTTCAATCCCCTTCCTCAGCTTATTGAAAGTCCAAAATTGTTATGTTACCATTTCTGTTTCATATTAGAGTGGTACTGAAACTCTTGAATTTAAAATGTTTCATAGAGAACAAAATCAGTAGTAATTTCCATTTTTTTTTTCAAATTTTGTATCTTAATTCTGTGGAATTGCTCTGAAAGAGAAATAGAACATGTTTTTAATGCACCATCAGAAAGGTTCATAAAAATGAGCAGTTGTCTGTACTTCACTGTTATTTATTCTGCTTTTACCAAGTTCTGCTCCATAAACTCATGACTAATGATAAGTAAAACAGATAAGATAAGCAAAACAAAAATAGACCTTCCCTCCAATAAGATATGCTACATTATCCATTCAAACAACTCCTGTAATGAGTAACTGAAGAGCGGTTCATGGAACATCAAAGGATTTAATGAACCACCCAAACAAATAAAACACCGAAGGATCCTCAAACTCCCAAACACGAAGTAGCTTTGTTACAACCATTGTAGATACCCAGGGTGGATACCAAACAAATTAAGTGCAAGTAGGATTTCATATTTTTATTGTAAAACTCATGAAATAACAACGTACTGGTCAATCCGCTGGGATAGCTTTGGGATTTGCTGCCTGATTTCAGCTCAACTTTAGAAAGGTGCAATTACCTGCAAGATGAGATTTTCCAGAAGTTTTGTTTCAATAGGTTTGATGCCAGATTACGTGTCTACACCATGTCAGCCCTGGCTGTGAAAGGAGGCAAAGAAAGGGCTCAGCACAAGTACAGTCATGTTGCTGGGGTTTACAGAGTCCTTGTTGGGTTTAGAACAAGGGTTGTAAAGGGTTTGTAAAGGGTTTACAACCCTTGTTTGGGTACAGAAAATCCAACATTCCTAAATTCTGCTCTTGCAACACGATTTATTCCTTCAAACCTCCAAGGAGTTGGGGTGTCTGTGGCATGCCAGTCAATGCTGGACTTCAACAGCAAAGGACAAATGGGAGCCTCGACTCTTTTTCAGGAATTGTTTGACTAAAGGAGATGAATTCAGCAAAATGCCTGCAGGTGGATGTGTTACTGAGGAATTTTCAGTGCTTGTGGCATCCCTCTTGTTCAAAGCTGTGTAGGCTCAAATCCTGGATTAGTTAGGAAGCAGCTGGCTTCACAAGGTTGTTTTGCTGTGTGAAAAATGAAATCTCACTGCTGAAAGCATGATTTGGGCTGGAAAGGTGCTATTCTGTTTCTTTAGGATTACAGTTATTGGGATGTTTGAGCATTGTATGCGTGCTTGCCTATAATCAATTTATTATCATTAAATAATTTTATACCTTGAAATAAATAGAGGTTTACTGTTCAATATATTTCCAAGAGAGGCACAACTGTAAGTACAAAAGAGCTTTACATAAAGAGTGAATCTGGCCTGATCAGAATTTGTGTCCCCTCACTCCTCACCTCTAAGAGAGTGGCACTGCTGCCATAAGAATCCTGAATGTAGAGCAGCAGCAGCTTCCCTTCTCAATGGCTTTATGGTCTGAGCAGATAAGAAAAAAAAAAAAGAAAAATCAGAAAATAACATTTAGGACCAACAAGTTTCTCTGCAAATATCAATTTTTGAAGAGAATTTGAAGGCTAAATGATTGTATTTAAAATCTATTGGACAGGGTTTAGTTAAGAAGGCTGTTATTTAGCAGAGAGAGTGGGTGAGAGATCAAAAAAAGCTAATAAAAAAGGCCTGAGGTAACCAGAAAATGACTGGGAAGTTTTCTGAGGTCTCCCAGGTAAAACCAACATTCATTTCTTTTTTAATTCTCTAACTGTGAATTATAGTTTCAAACAAGAATTCATCCTATCATTACTAATTTAGGTCCTAGGGAAGTCAACTTCCCTGTGCCACGCAAGAATTCCCACTGACTCTACAGCTCCTTTCCAGGATTTGTGGTCGCCTAAGTGTGTGGGTTTTTTCTATCCCTGTGGAAACAGAAATGACAATTTACTTTCTCCAATTTGAAAAGTGCTATTTTCCCCCCACTGGCAGCGCTCTGTGGCTGTGATTAAGGGACAAGGTTCTGTTCTGCCCCTTCCACAGCCCTGGGGTTGCTGAAGGCTCTGTGTGTTCTCTCCTGCAGATGACAGCTGTAAATTAAGCTGTGAGAACGGAGGGAAGTGCATTATCAACGAGAAGGGGGATCCTCGGTGCCACTGCTGGCCCAGCTACTCTGGTGAAAGGTGTGAAACCAATCACTGCTACAACTACTGCCAGAATGGAGGAACTTGCGGGGCCTCTCTCCTTGGTGAGTGTTTCTGAGCAGCTCTATCTTGTTCTTATACCTGTGTCAAATGTTTGAATTTCTTCATTTTTGAGATTTTTTTTTTTCCTCTTTATTATTCATTTTGTCTGTACTTATACAATGTGCAAAAATAGTAATATATTCCACATATATTCCTTGTGATCAGTAGGGCTCCTCATTCCCTTCTATTGGTGTTTCAGCACAATTAAACAAAAAGAAAAAGAAAAAATGCCAGAAAAGGGAGGAGTCAGTAAATGTTCAGGGTAAAGACTCGCAAGTTGAGGTGTATCAGTGGAATTGTAAAGCAAAGTGTCCAAACTACATCTGCAACGAGTCCATACATCTTGTTCTCTCAATTCATATCAATTCACCCCCTAAATTTAAGTGTGTGTACACAGAGATATTTGCTTAAATACCTGACCTCAGTCTTTTACCTTTGTTTAGCTGGAGTTCACTAAATAGGAATTTTACTCTCGAGAAGACTTTGTTTATGAGAACTCAAATCTTTCATTTTCCTGAAGGAATTTGAAATTACATTTCTTAGGTTCAGGGGGATTATCCTGTTAAAAAGCAGGAATTTGGCAGTTGATCTTTGTCCCTAGCACATCCCATATCTTGTATAACATTGGGCTAGAGAGGAAAAGTGTGAAAAGAAGTACTCTAAAACGTAGTAATTTTGTGAGAAAGGAGCAGCAGAACTCTTATTTTCTGCTTCAAGGAAAATACTTAAATATTCAATTCAAAGCAAAACAGCTGGAGAAGAGTTTGCTGCCTCTTCCTCTCAGAAACTTTCAGCTGCTTAAGATGTGAATAATTTTCCCCTGTGTGTGAGAAACAACACAGGAGTGACCAAAATCTTGATCTCTGAAAGAAAAGGTCCAGGCACCTGAGATTCCTCCCTGTAATGGAGGTACATAATTCCTGAGTGTCTGTGGCAGAGGAACTTGGATTGTAAAGATTTCCTCAGCCCTTATTAATTAACTTTAGCCTGTGTAGTTCAGTAATTCAGTCCCAGTCCCTGGCTTCTCTGTAGTCTCCTCTTCCTGGCTGAGATGTGGTGGCAAAATTCCAAGCGAGTGCAAGTCTAGTAATTTATTCTTTCCGTTCTGAGTACTTGAGGGTTAATAATGTTGTTCATAATAATGACTAAATATCAGAAAATGAGAATTGCTTGTGCTGGAAGCTGATTAATCATACTTTAAACTGCTCCCAGCAGCTGATGGAACTGCTGACACAAATGATGAACAGTGATTTTTGTCAATGCAGTCAGATCAATACGTGCAGGTGAATGGAAGGGATGGTTTAAATGGCACGCAGAACTTCCCCCCCATCTGCAGGGAGGATGTTTATTCCCACATTTTTACATGTCTGGCATCTAATTGATTCTTTTGTGGGGTTAAAAGGCTTAATAAAATTAATAACTTGGCTCCTGGAACTGAGCTCTGTTGTGAGTTCTGCAGAGACCCCAGGGTTTTGTTTAATCCTTTTCTTTTGGCAGTAGCCACAGGGCTTGCTCACCTCCAGCAGTTTGTTTTCCCTCTCCCAGGCAGCTCACACTTGCTGTGCTCACACAGCTATGCCCTCACATGGATATTTTTAATTTTCATTTTCCTGCTAAATCCAGCCTCGGAAATCGCTCAGCCTCGCTGAAACAATTAGTGTGCAGTAGGTTTGGTCACCAGTGGGGAGAGGAGAGATGTGAGCAGGGTCTACAGAATGCTTCTGTT